TCCGGCCAGAGATGTCTGCTCGTCAGAGGCTAGTCGAGACCCCGTCCGCCCCGGGGTCATCAATTGGCAAGGCACGGTGCATGGTGGCGCTGGGGCTTGTCGAGGGTGTCCACTTCAATCTTCGTAGATGAAGCTGGTGGTGATGTTTCCAAGTTGGGATGCCCGCAGCCTGACCAGGCGGCATAGGTCAGCAACGTGATATTGCGACAAGATGCTGTCAGTTGTGGTTTTTTTTTTTTAAAATTTTTTTTTTCCTTCTCTCGGTGAGCGCTGGACGGATCTACCGTTCCGTGGAGACCCCGGCAGCTTTCTTCCTGTATTTCATTGTATTAATGCCGACCGGTGGATGCCGAAGACCGTGCCATCTATCTGTTGCCAGATACGCATCCAGAAACATACAGAAGCGTCCAAGACCCAAATTACCCTCCTGGAAATGCTTGTTAATACAGATTCAGATTGAAGCTTTCCAAAATATATGCTGGGCATCTCCTAGTGAGGGACACCTCTGAAGCAGGCTGAGAGTCGAGAGTCTTGCACCAATTTCGGCCATTTTGCTGTGTCATAGCTTTTCACCCTCACGAATTGCTGGAAAAAAAAACCAGCTCAACGGAAAATATGGATGCTTCTCCAAGTATGTCGGCTCATGGTATCGAGCCATCAATGGCGCGAAACAGATCGTTTTGTACAATCTCTGCGAGCTCGATTGACTCTTCGCCGCAGAGATCAGGGCAAGACTCCCCTTACAACGCCAACCACCACGATGACTTTCGTTTCAGAACAGTAAGGGGAAAAACTTACGTTGACGCAAGAGAATCAACCATCTGACATTCTGACAGATGGTGACGTACCTACATAATAGAGCAGTAGCCAGTGGCTGGATCCCCCCCGAGTCCATCAGGTCTCAGGAAGACTGCTCTGGCGTGCTCTTGCGAAGATCTCGCGGCAACTACATTGCGTCACAAACACTGAACCCCATTCTCCTCGGTGCCGTCATCCGGCTGAATCTCCATGTGGCCATTACCATGCGCCCGCAGATGTTGCAGGGCATTCTCACCTCCTTGTTGCCCGGGCAGTCTGATTTGAAGTTCAAGGACGGGTCTCAGATTCAAGTTCTCGACTCATTGGCCCTTGCACAGCCTGCCACAGTAAAGAAGTTCCAGTACGCCTGTGTCTTTAGACAAGAGCGCTTGATTCTCGTCTGGCACGATGATCTTGTCCACATTGTTCCTCAAGCCACCCACATAGAAGAAAAGCTGCTCGCTTGGGTACGACTTGTCAAGCCGCTATAATAAAAAAGAAAACATGACATTAGAAAGGGCTAACCGTTGTTGGTAGGTTTGGGGAGAAGGGAGACTGCCCGTTAATATCCTACATATGCCGAGCCGCGCTCCGTCAACCTTGTACGACTCCGGTATATCCAGCCCGATCGGAACGGCGACCCCGGCAGCTGGCATCACCACGCCGGGTCTCCTGATGCAGTTGAGTAGCAGCGAGGACGTCTCAGAGAAGAATGCCGCCATAGAGCGGCCAGAGTCTGTCGCGAGGCCAGTCGCCCGCGCATCGGCCTTCTTCATCGGCTGCGCCATGTGTCTGTCCCTGTGCCTCCTGTGCGGTGTATACGTCGGGAAGCTGGTGACGGAGTGTATCCTCGCCAACGACTGGATCAAGATGGCGCTTATCTTCCCCGTCCCCCTGCTCATGTGCGTCTCCTTGTTCTTCTTCCAAGTCATCTTCACCAACATCTTCCAGATGATTGGGCCCATCGGAGGCGTCAACACCAACTCGCGCTACTTTTCTGCACACAAGCCGTGCCTGAGGCGGGCCTACGCCGACGGCTTTGTCCCGCCGAAGGTCACTATCCAGATGCCAGTCTACAAGGAGGGCATGGACTCGGTCATTATCCCTACCGTGCGCAGTCTGCAGGCGGCCATTTCGTATTACGAGTCGCACGGGGGGTCGGCCAACATCTTCATCAACGACGACGGTCTGCGGGCCGGGTTGACGGATGACGAGGCTCGGTGCCGCAAGGACTTTTATACAGACAATAGGATCGGCTGGGTCGCTCGTCCTAAGCATAATGGGGACGAGGGCTTTGTGCGAAAGGGCAAGTTCAAAAAGGCGTCCAACATGAACTTTGCGCTGAATGTCTCGCAAAAGGTCGAGGCGTACATGCAAGACCTTGCCGATGCTAGATTGGCCAACAAGGAGACGGATCTCATTACGGATGCCGAGGAGGAAGAGATGTATCAGAGTGCCTTGGCGCGAGTCCTGGAAGAGAACCCGCTTGCTTGGGCGGACGGTGATATTCGCGTCGGAGAGCTGATTCTCATTGTAGATTCGGACACACGAGTGGTGCGTTGCCCTTTGCTTTCCTTCCTTCTTTTTTCCCCATGACGTGATGAACCGTTTTCTCTGACGTTGAACAGCCCGAGGACTGTGTTTTGTATGGTGCCGCTGAGATGTTCCTCTCTCCCGAGGCGGCTATTGTGCAACATTCCACTGGCGTCATGCAGGTTACACATGATTACTTTGAGAATGGAATCACCTACTTTACCAACCTAATATACTCCTCCATCCGGTTCTCGATTGGATCCGGCGAGGTAGCCCCCTTTGTTGGCCATAATGCCTTTCTCCGGTGGCAAGGTGAGAAGAAGTCCCCAACACATGCGATGGAATCGTACTGACGCCGTGGGCCGCGCCCCCCTTCAGCTGTTCAAGATGTCGGCGTGCCTGAAGAAGACGGCTACGTCCCATACTGGTCTGAGAGTCACGTCTCAGAAGACTTTGATATTGCGCTGCGCCTCCAGATGAAGGGCAACATCATCCGCGTGGCGGACTACCACGACAACGAATTCAAAGAAGGCGTGTCGCTGACCATCTATGACGAGATTGCCCGCTGGCAAAAATACGCCTATGGCGTCAATGAGATGATATTCCACCCCATCCACCGCTGGATCTACAAGGGCCCCTTCACGCCGCTCTTCTACACCTACATCACGTCCAACATCATGGTGTCGTCCAAAATCTCCATCCTGGCATACATGTGCTCGTACTACGCGCTCGGGTCGGCCATGTTCCTCACGGCGCTCAACTACTTCATCGTCGGCTGGTTCCGCGACGACCTGGCCTCGAGCTACCTCACGTCGTGGAACGTGCTGCTCTCCCTCATCGTCGTCTTCAATGCGGCGGGCCCTATTGCGCTGGCCATCGTGCGCTACCGCACGGGCGAGAAGGCGCTGCTCGAGGCGCTCGTCGAGAACTTCAAGTGGATGCCCATGATGACCGTCTTCTTTGGCGGCATCTCGTTCCATATCTCCAACGCCATCCTCGCGCACCTGTTCCACGTCGACATGCAGTGGGGTGCCACGTCCAAGGAGAAGGAGGACAGCAACTTCTTCCAGGAGATGCCGCGCATCTTCAGGACCTTCAAGTACATGTACCTGATTATCGTGCTGCTCGTGGGCGCCATGGTGTACCTGGGGGCGTTTGCGCCGCCGGACTGGGCCATTACCGACTTTTCCGTGATTGTGCCGCTTGCTATCAACCTGGGGTTCCATGCGTTGGTGCCGCTGGTGTTGAATCCCAGCCTGATGATTTTCAACTACTGAGCACAATTGTTGTTGCCGGCTGCATGGCTGTATATTTTTCTCTTTGTTGCCGGTTTAGATTGGCAGTAGCTTGCTTCGAACTGTGCGATAGATGGCGTTAGGTTACATTCATTAGAGACCATGATGATGGCATAAACGGAACATGATGGGGATATAGAGGGATTGTGTCCATTAAGCGTATAATAGAGTTTGAGCATCAGGTGTTTTGCATTCCGTCCCGCCACGTCCTCTGCGACGTGCATGTGATGGTCTCCCGTCATCGGATTTGACAAAAAGAATGCGTTGTAGCCACGTACCGTTGCCGCCATTGGGGCGAAGCAGAACCAATCATGATTTTCACAGACCAGACAGCGATGGGTTACCAATGGCCAATGTACGTATGTGCCTTGGCGTCGAGGCTATGGTGACTGGTCATGCGGATCCGGGAATTCCAACGCCTCGCAGCGCCGGATCCAAGGCCATGCAATGTGAGACTTGTCTGAGGAGCAGGTGAATGCGCATGTGCAACTTGATCATCATGACCTCTCACCAAGTGCAAATTGGTGGAGACTCTGAGAGCCCAAAGAGCGCTCCTTCCTCTGCGCGAATTGTAGCGTCAATGGACGTGACGCAAATGGCTAGTGCTGCGACAGCTCCTTCCCTCTCTCCCAATTGGCGTCACTTCCCCTCCCGCCCCCCGCAATATCCCTGTGGGTCCCCTTCCAATGCCGCCTCACCCTCTCTTGACCTCATGCCCATCCAATCTCCGCCCTGCCGTCCTCCCGTTTCAGCATCATTGTGTCAATTGTTATTCCGGGACCAATTGTTCACCAGCCTCTGTTTATTCCACCTTCATCTTCACACGAACCCTGAAACTCGTAAACCATTACCGCCTGCCTCGTCGGGAGCGTTCAAGGAGCCCTCGGCAGCCACGTAACCCCGACCGGAACGCCGCGCTCTCTTGTCTGTTGTCCAAAAGGCTCGTCCGTTGCCGCTACTGCACTGCACGTCCTGCACTCTGAATGCCCTCCAATCAGTAAAGGACCCATTTAGACTGTGAGTGATATTGAATTGATATGCCCAAAACAGCAATAAGGCGGGGATTGTAAGAGAAGGTGAAGAAACAAGGAAGAACGCACCCCATGGCTAAGACAACGGATGGAACATGGCTGACCAGAAAAATCCCGCGACACGTTGCGTATACATCATCTGACACGGCACATTCATAGGAGCTTGAGCTTGTGATACTTGCGCAAAGAGAAGTCTCCCGTTCTTCTCTTTACTTATAACTCTCTTGTGCGGGTATGTCTCTGAGATCGCTTTACTACTTGCTTTCCATCCTTTGTCGTCACATCCGTCCACCCTGAGGTGTCAATTGCTCATACAACAGACATTGCCAGAAAAGCTGCCAGTATGAATGAGAAGACTGGTCTTCACGAAGAGTCCCGTCCTAAGCGGGATACATCTGGCTCACTTGACCTGGCCCCCACCCATATTACCTTTACTCAGTCGTTCAGCTATGCCACCAAATATACCAATGAGAAAAACTGGATCGGCATCTACTCTTCTGGCAGCACTGGTCCTGACAACGAGACTTACACAGAAGACTCCCTATCGTGGGAATATGCTCCAGGTGAAAAGGGAACGGTGCAGCTATCAACTGCCAATCTCCCTCCAGGCCAATACAAGGCCTACTTTCTTGCCAATGAGGGCTACAAGTGGCTAGCCAAGCCTGTCGTATTCAAGGTCGCGAATCCCTGGGGCTCGATTTCGATTCGTGACGATGACCCTCTGCTCACCTTCAACTATTCGACTCCGCTTCCAGATCCCCAAAACTGGATTGGCATTTACAACTCCTTTGGCGGTGGCCCAGAGTCACAAAAGTTCATCAGTGGCTCCTTGACTTGGGCTTATGCCCCTGATAAGAATGGGACTGTCAAGGTCGATGCCTCTGCTTTGCAGCCAGGTCTGGGATATCGAGCCTTCTTCCTTGCCAAAGGCGGATACAAGTGGCTTGCAAACCCCATTGACATCGTCAAACCCGGAAAGGGTCCGTTGACCTTTATTGTTGACCAGCTAACTACACACAATGCTCGGGCGGGTGAGCCTTTCCAGGCTACCCTCAGCGGAATGCTAGAAAACCCACGCGATCCAGACAGCAAGTTCGCCAAGGGCAAGTATAGCGCTACGGATACAAGCACACATGACTGGGTCAACATATCTGCCGACGGAATTATCAGTGGTACACCACCCAAGGCATCCGGAAACACGACAACTAAATTCGTTGTCGAGGCTTTGGGATCCGATGGATCTACTGCCGAGATTACGGTAATAATCCCCGTCGTCCCGCAGGGCGAGCCTTTGGTCAAGGAACTGACCATCTTGTCGTTCAACCTGTGGTTCGGAGGTACACCCGTGAAGGACTACCACGCCAAGCAGGTTCGCTTCATCACAAACGCCAGAGCAGACATTGTTGGACTCCAAGAGAGCACCGGAGGACATGCAATTCGCCTCGCAAAAGCCATGGGCTGGGACTATTGGCAGGGAGACGACGTTGGTATCATTTCTCGATACCCCATGGTCGAACAGTATGCTCCTATCGAGAGATGTGGCGCTGTACGCATAGCCTTGGACAGGGGCCAGGAAATAAACTTTTGGAATTGTCATTTGGGCTACACGCCATATGGTCCATACGACTTTTGCTTTGACCACCTGTCCCCGGAGGAGGTTCTCAAGAACGAGATCAAGTCTCGTCGTACGCCTCAGATCATTAATATCATGAAGCACATGCAGGACCATCTCTCACAATCCAGCAAGACCCCCGTCATCTTCACCGGTGACTTCAACGCGCCGTCACACCTTGACTGGACAAATGCAACCAAGAAGCTTCACTGTGGACAGGGATACTTCCCCTGGCCGACCTCAAAGCATCCCATTGATGCAGGCCTAATTGATTCCTTCCGAGAAGTCCACAGTGACCCGTTGGTTCAACCCGGCCTCACGTGGTCGCCCATTTATCTAGACAACGGAGGGCGGACTGAACCCAAAGATCGCATCGACTTTATCTACCACAAGGGCCTCAAGACTCATTCATCGGAAGCTGTTGTGGTTGGCCAGCCCAAAGCACAGCCGGACCACTATCATAACGAGTGGCCATCGGACCACGCCGCCGTTAAGACAGTCTTTAAAGTAGAGAAGAGTAGCTCTGCTGGACGGGGCAACTCCCGCGTCCTCTGGGGCGTGGTCAGCGCCATAATTGCCGCGACAGCTGCGTGTGCTTCGTGGATTGTATGCGCTTGTGTCGGCAAGCGCAAGTCGGATAAGAATTTCGATGAGAAGGGCAGGAGGGACATCGATTCGGGCGATTCATCTGCATAGAAATACCGAAAGGACTGGTATTCACGTCGTATTGATGAGCACCATACTGCACCTTGGGGGTGCCATGAATGTTGTTCGGTAAATAGACGGATGGTGTGGCCAGGCGGGCCGTGTACTGTTTTTGGTCCCGATAGTGAGTCATTGGAAAAGATGTATAACATGACTCTTCCGCGCTCGGCCTAGGCATCTTATCCGACTGTTTTGGCTGATTTACATTATTTACCAAGATTTCTCGTGGCTGGAAGAGACATTGTCTAAAAAGGCAATCATCGCCCAATACCCAATCTCAAAATCCTTCCATCGTAGCTGCCTGACACATCGTAGGTATTAAAACTCCAACTGCGATCCGGGCCATGTCAGCGTACTTCGGACTCTTCAATAGTGGACGACTTGGACCATGTTCCGCGCCGATCATTGGTTTATCAAGTACGCAACAGACTGGTCTGCAGAGCACCCGTTTCCGATCACGATGACACCCTCATCATGGAAGTCAAATTATTGGTCCCAACGCGCGTCATGGAAAAGACTGCCTTGAAATTTCTCCATGCTGTGGATGTCCTTTATACGAATTAGAATATCATAAAAACCTATAGTCGTGAAAGGAACCGTGCGTATCGGAGATAATTGCATCCGGTTGTCATATCAACAAATCTAACACGCCAGAGGCTCTTGTCATGTAATTATTCAGCCCCTGTCCCTTTACACTCTTGCATCAGCTAAAGATGCAGTAAACCAGGTCTATAACGATAACCTTTACAAGGCAATTTTCATTGCTATAACCAGATTACGGGGATTTTATAATCAAGATACAATTACCCTTTCAAGAAGAAGCCCAACTTCTACAAAGCCTGCTACCTTTGCGTTCGGTAGCTTATCTAGTACCAGAGTAGGCTGACGTTATCTCACATCCAGGCACCAAGTATTACGAACCTTATGAATTATGTAGAATAAGCTTGTCGGAGACGTCTCGGAATAATGCTCAATGGAACACCAGACGCTAACCCAGATCGCCAGGGGGAAAACTCCAATTAGGCAACTCCGAAGGGTCTTGGTGAAATTGACGACGACTACGACGTTTTCGCTTCCACATCGTGATTTGCCTCAAGGCTCGCGACCTTGGTACCCACAAAAAATGTCATCGATTGCCTAGCGTAGCCATCTATTTTTCTCGCCGCCATGAAGCCCGCCGTACTCTTTGGCCCAGACATGCTGGACGGGACCACGTTACCCCAGCCGTGATGAGTCAGTCTTGCGCAAGTACTGGTAGGAATTGGCACGCTAGCAGGGAAGTGTGCGTTATCTTAAGTGCTTCTTTATAATATTCAGGTATTTATCTTGTAAGACATATTAATTAAGCTTTGCTCTTAAAAAAACTTAACTATAGTCCTTATAAGGACTCGCGCCCTTGCGTCGAGTCTTGTTATTTGACGAACAGAGGAAGCCTAATTTAATACCTCTGTTATATTTGTACTATTACTATCTAGAAACAAGGTTGAATTTGGGAGGCGATATCCGACAAGTGGGTATATAGTGTTGAGGGAGTTGGTGGGCGCTGTTGCTAGGGCCCAGAAATCATTTCGCGTCAAGGCTACGATTCGCGGCCAAGACGGTTTATTATTATATAACTGGATACTCAAGCGGTCGCTAGTATCTGATGCTCTATGTGGATAACATACAGTTCAAGCCCTGAATATTTAGCCAGGTATAAGTTGTATAAGTCGGCCGCATAATATGATAAGAGGGGTTATAAGTTATAACTAATCATAAAAACTACTATATAAGGTATTAAGTACTTAATAAGTTAATTAAAAAAACTTTTATTAATACGTTATTATTAAAAAAGTATTACTTTTTTTATAAATTATAATTAATAGCTATTATTATAGGTTATAACTATTCTTGTTAATAATAAGGCCCCTATAAATGGCCCCCCCTTATCAGGCTACTTATAGCCAAACTTACAGGGGTTAGATTATAAGGGAGGACCTGTCCTGCGCGAGTCAATACTTGTTGTATTAAACAGTATTATACTCCCTGAATAATAATCGTACCACGCCCCTTTTTGACCCAAAAAAAGGTAGCGGTAAGAGCTTTGCTTGACTCAAAAAAGTGAGATATGGCCCTATTAGCTTATAAATCAGTCGATGCTAATTTACCTCTCCCCACAAAATCGGCATACTCTGTACTGAGGGATGGCTTTCTTGGAAGACAGACTATACGCCGACAGTTGTCCTTCCAGACGCTTATCAGCCTACAGGATAGACCTTGACGCAATATATAAGCTGTATGGTAGGTAAGCAAACAATAATGGTCATTCGCAATGGTGTTGCAAATAGGAGTCTAATTCCATCATCGTCATTCTTTTGTTTTCTTTTGCTTGGCCGTCTTTTACCGGCAACTCCTTTACAGCCAGAATTTCCCAACATATTCCTTGAGCCTCTTGGTCATGGTCTGGCTGTCCATCTCTGCTCTAATATGGGCAGCTCTGGCGTTTGCTCCCTCCGGGGCAGCAGACGCGGGAGGGCATCGCGGCAACACACATGCAGGCCCCGACAACTATATTATCGAATGCCACAACGGCCGAGACAAAGACGTCCTGATTCACCATATCAAACAACGCGATGGCCAAGTACATCATGATTTCAATTCTGGCATCTTTTATGGCGTATCAGCTAGTGTACCAGGCCTAGGGGGCGACGAGATAAGAAACATGGCAGGCGTCAAGGACGTGTGGCCGGTGCAGGTATTCAGCTACGAGGCCAAGGAGAATAGTTTGAAGCCTCGAGCGGGCCCAAAGAGGCAGCCGTATCGACGTGCCGTCGACACTTCGTGGAATCATGCCATGACGCAGGTGGACATGCTCCATTCCGAGGGCTTCTACGGCACAAACATTACCATTGCCGTCGTAGATACTGGTGTAAGTCATCCTTTTCCATGAGCAAGGATAGAAACTTGGGGTTTTGTATAAAAGATTAACGTAGACGGGGCGGCAGGTCAACTACACACATCCGGCACTGGGTGGCTGCTTCGGTCGTGGCTGCCGAGTCGCTCGCGGAGCCAATTTCGTCCGTAACGAGGGAAACCATGATGATCCCATGGATCATCATGGTCATGGAACTGCTGTTGCTGGCGTGCTGGCCGGGAACGATCCTCAGAGAAACTTTGTGGGCGTGGCTCCTGGCGCGACACTTGCCGCATATCGAGTTGTGGATTCCAAGGGGTACGGCCGAGAAGACGATTTGATAGCAGGCTGGCTTAAAGCAGTGGAAGACGGAGCGCAGATTATCGCTTCTTCGGCTGGTTTTGACGGATCCGGCTGGGCACAGAGTCCCATGGCAGCTGTTGTAGCGCGCATCGCCTCAAGTGGCATACCCTGCATCGTGGGCAATGGTAATGATTCCAAGAAGGGCCTCTTTTTTTCTCTAGATCCCTCGACTGGCCGAAATGTGATGGCTGCCAACTCATTTGCCCACCGGATGGTGTCTTCGGCCGGTGGTAGTCATGCCGTCACGGCGGGCATGTCGGGGCTTTCTGCCTCTGGGCCGACCTGGGAACTGGATCTCAAGCCCAATGTCGGCGTATCCGGCGATGAAATACCTTGTCCGCAAATCGACGGCAGCTATGGCAATTGCTCCGGCACATCCTTTGCTGGACCACAAGTTGCGGGCATGGTGGCTCTCATTGCCGAGCGCCGGGGGGATTTCGATCCGGGACACCTGATGAGTCTTCTCATGACCACGGCCGCGGTCCAAAAAGATGGCCATTTCATTCCCGTAGTCCAGCAGGGAGGGGGTCTTGCCCAGGCCTGGCAAGCTGCACACGCGACGACGCTTATCGAACCACCGAGCCTTGCCTTTAACGATACAGACCACCGGGCTCAGTCCGTCACCATTCGAGTCACTAATAAAGCTCTGTTTGAGGTTACGTATCAGCTCTCGATTCTTCCTGCCCCCACTATTTACGCTCGCAGGCTACCGAGAGACTTTAAAAATCCAGAGTATATCCAAGCTCCTGCGTCTATTGACATGAGCAAGACTTTTCTTAAGCTAGCCGCCAACCAGTCAGATACTATTACAATCTCGGCTAAAGACCCCGAGGGCCTTGAAGCCGACCGCTTGCCGGTATGGTCCGGCTGGGTCGCCATCAATAGTTCTGATGGCAAGACACTGACTGTGCCATATATGGGCCTTGCGGGCTCGTTACACAAGCAACAAGTTCTTGAGTCTGATGGGGTCAGCTTGCTAGGCTTCAACCACGATATGCATAATGCAGACAGTAATCGTGGTGCAAGATTCAGCTATACTGTCAAGAATGGCTTCACAACACTTTCAGCCTCTATCATTATTAAACTAATTCTCGGAAGCCGTGTATATGTCGAGGCTGTTCCCCTATCGCCTCGAAAATGGATGGCTGACCGCCTAGGCAAGAGCCGAGGCTTTCCGATCAAGGGTTACTCTCCAAGAGCACTCCAGAGGTATACCGGCATTGGGCTATACGACAAAGAATGGGACGGTCAAATCCAGTCCGGTGATTACCTTCCACCAGGCGACTATGAACTGGAAGTGCGCGCCCTGAGGATTTTTGGAGACCCTACTATGGAAGCCGACTGGGATGCAGCTGAACCACTCCCATTTCAAGTTATTAGTGGCGCGGGCCAGGAAGCATGCAAGGCGTACCAGTCTGGAAAGGGGCCCAAGGATGCTCTATTTCGAAATCTGCAAGAATGCCATCAGGTTCACAACAAGACGGCAGTCGACGCTCCCTGGATCCCTCGCCCTCAGGATAGTAGCAAGTGTGATGATGATAATCCAACGGAAGAGGACTGCGGCACTTACCACTACTGCAAAGCGCATCAAGAACGACCCGACGACATTATATCCCCTTTCAGGAACAGCTACGAGTGCGTGTATAGCCATAAATTGCTGCCCAACGTACCGCTTGACCCCATCAGGTTGCCTGAGTGCCAAACGACTAGGGACCCTAATATGTGTGGCTCGCATGTTTGGTGTATAGTTATTTTTCAAACCGGAGGGCCTGCACATGGATGGAGCAGCAGTGAGGAGTGTCAATGGGCTCACGGAATTATATGGTAGGCCAGAATATAGCGCTTATTATATAGTTGAAGCGCGAAATATCACGTTATAAAACTTAAGAGACCTTGGGTATATTAAAGAATATCTCTGTGCTAAATCACCACGGTTGCGCGAGACACCAACAAGATTTCCTTCTGTGAAAAGCGATTGGTGGTTTTGGTGGCAAGTAATAACGAGTTGCGACGGTTTTGAGAAGATGATAATGATGGGAATCTGCAAAACAATTAGAGGGGAGAAATAACACATATGAGGATACTAGGAGGAATATCTTATTGCGTGCGTGACTCACGCGGTCGCGAGTCGCCGTCATTGCGTGTATCTCTGACGCGTAGAGTTTATTCCAGGCTTTCACCGGCGCGTAAAATTATAAATCACCTTTTAAGCTAGTAGATTTAACGTATTATAATACGTTTATATAATGTTTTTTAAATTATATATTATTATTAAATTAGTAAGGTATAATTACTAATTGTATTACTAGTAGGTCCTGGTGATTAACTAGCCTTTTTTTATTTTTTTTATAATAATTTAATATCTTATTGCGTAGATTGCTCAGTTCTGAAATCCTCGAATGAGAGCCGAGATGGTCATTGTGTTGCGAGCAGCTTCAACCTGGGCCTCGCCATGCGTCTTTACTAACGCCTCTAGGTGCGGTATCGCGTCTCTCCAGGAGTCCAAATTGTTCCCCAGCGTCAGAAATCATTATGCCTACGTCGACATTGATCATAACTGGCTTCACCTAAACCTCAGGGGGGATTTTCCGTTGCACAGGCAAATACCACTGGCTCGCCGCCAGTGCAATGCCACAGCACAAATTTACAAGCTGAATAAAGACGAGCCAATTCCACTAGTATGAAAGAATTGCAAAGCACTTACAACAATCAGATCTTTCGTGGTGAGCCTGGAGGTTGGTGAAGTAGGTACACAAGACTTTTGTCTTCCCTTGAAGCTAAATACAGTAGCAGGCCAGCGGCTAAGCGAGACACAGAACAGAGCTCACGTTGAACAGCCTGGGGCACGAGACATGCGAGACTGGCAGTGGGTATCGAATCAACTATCCTGCAACCTGCCTGGATGGTCGTTCGCAGTCTCAAGCATGCATCTGAGCGTGGTGAGATGAGAGGCGTGAGCTGCCGTCTAGTCATCTCGCCACACCCCTCCCTTACCTCTTAGCGTCGGCTGCTTCCGTGCCTGCAAGCCCGCTGGTTGGCTGTTGTGCCAGTTGCTGCGGGGTGAGCCGCCTGACAAACACTTTACGACGCAACAAACCCGAGGCTAGTCTAAAGTAGGAAAGTCAATTGGCGACTGTCCAAGACAAAAGGACCCTTGGAACGATCTCAACGCCAGGCTAGTTTCGGCCTGCGGTCTTCCTTGTTCTTATGGCTCTGGAGCGGGATTTCTGTTCTTCCTCCCTCTTTCTCTTCCAACATTTCGCATTCTTTTTTTTCTCCTGCCACTCCGACTGCCCATGGGCCATGGTATAGGATACGGGTTGCCCAGCAGCCTACTCTTGGTAAACATGGCGTGCTCAGAGGTCATTGACAATGTCTTTGGGCCATGGGCTGGACTATTCTGCCGCGGCGGCGTGGAAACGGGGTGCCGTATGTTTTATTGACTCGAGGAATTTCTGCACATTGTGATAGCAACTCGTTACCCTAGAGCCTCTCATAGCTGCCAATGACCAACCCATCAAGCGTACGTCGTCGCTGCAGCCAGTGTCGACTGTGTGGCTGCCCTCGCAGTCGCTCTCCTCTCCCGATATTCTCACACTTGAGGATCCCCACAGCCCTCGCTGACGATTGTGGTCTATCTTTGCATCACATTCTATGGAATCTAGCCACTGCTAACACCTCGTGGCTGATGAAGAATGCGATTGCAGTTCCAATACTTTACACGGGCGCCCTGGAAACTTTCAAATGCTCTGTATTAGCATCTTGTCAGCAAGTTAATAATAAAAGTCTGTGGAAGCTTGATTTTTCTTCTCTACAGCACAACTTTACGACTCCTCTTACCCTCATGAACGTTGACATGGACAAAGCTATGATCGATTTTAAAGATATCCATGAGCTGTGGGCATCACTGTGTATGTGCTGACGTTGCAGATGTCACGGGCTTGTGTGGCGCTAATTGTTGAATTCATAGGTAAGCTGCTCGGAGAAAATTTACCCTGTCTTCCACATGCTGAGTCCCAAACACTCTGTTTCTCTGCAACTATCCCTATTGCGAACAAGGTAAAATCAAGGTCGTGTGCCTGTAAATGGCAAAAGCATGGTTGCTTCCAATAATCAGATACCTGAGGTCCCCAACACCAGTGCCTCTTTTTCTCAGGAAGCAGATGCCTCGGCAAGGAATAATGAAGCTCCAAATGCGGCAGAGCATCACGATGCCTCCATCGGCATCACGAAGGGGGATATGGATCTTCGCCGGAAGGTGGGCGACTTGAGCATTTGCTGGTATTATACGAAACCGGCAGGGGTGATTTATGGCGAGATTTTCCTCGCTGCCTCATTGCTCTGTGCTACGTGCATGCAATTCTGCGTCATCTGGGTCTAGTGGTGGTCTGATGCCAGTGCTGCCGGATAAAAGAAATCGGTTGGATACTATCTGGACATCTACGCTCTGGTAAGCGTAGCCTGGTCCATTTCCTGCGTTTCTTCCTCCGCCGCGTCGGTTAAAACCCGCAAGGTACACGTTAGATCTGACATACTTGCAAGTAGAGCAAATTTTCGAAACCTTCCGAGTCACTCCCGAGTTGTGGTGGTGTCATGAATTGAGAAGTGTGTCAGTCTAAGTGGTCCGGCGCGTCTGCATGATGAGCGGAAAATGGTGAATAAGTGTATATTTATGTTGACATAAATGGCACACGGACTTATTCTGTGCTATGTCGTAATTCTCTAGGACAGTCATAGGGAAGGGAACCAGTTGACATATTCGCTTCCAAGGGCCGGTAATTATTCTACACTACATACATGCTTGCAGAACAAAATCCCTCGCCCCCATTTACATGATGTTTAGCGCCAAGACCCCTTCATTCATGCGTCAGACTCTAGACTATTATTAACAAGGGGAAAGTGGCTGGACTCGGCGCCACCTATCCCGTTGAGCGGCACAACAAATTACCATGAGCACACTCCGTATGCACCAGGGGACTGAGGCATTACGTTTTGCCTCGTACTGAATATAATATTTGCCAAAACAGGACGTCTTTGCCTTGCTTGAGTCTACATGCTACAATAAGGCTTGCCATCTCACAATCTTACAATGTCAACCATATTCATGACAAAAATGGCGCTGGCCCAACCGCAAAGCATGTATAAGTAGTCAAGTCCTCCAAACCAACCAACTCCCTATAATACACTTCCCGCCCTCTCCAAAACCTTGACCCACGAAAGATGTTGAGTTGATCCTCATGATTTTGGTCAAAACTGACGTCCATTACTAGATACAAGTACAGCTAGGTGACGTCTAGAGGTCTCGCACCTGGCTGATACTAACACTCGTCATCTGCCTCGGCATTGTCGTTCTTAGTGCAACCCCCCTGTTACACGGAAATGTGCCGGTTACACAAGGGCTACGGTCACGGGATTAGGGCAGAAGGCTCTCACCGACTTCTTGTACAAATAGACATCTTTGGTCCCTTAAGGCCTTGAGGAAAACCAAGGACCTTTGATACCAAAGACTGTTATTAGATGAATTGAGTAATTGCTCCAAGCTAGGCCCTTGTCACACCCCCTCAATACGAGTGGTGCCAGTAGGGCAGACACAATCTCCATCCAACTTGATGCCTCCATCGCCCACTATTTTATACAAGATGGGCGCAATACTGGGCGGTTTCAGGACCTATCATGAATCATGAATTCATGATCATGACCCCACTTATTAAGCCTAGAGTTGGTATAATGCAGAGTCATCTGGTTGACTCGCGGGATAGTTTAGCTCAGCGGGATATAAGAAGGGGTGAAGGACTAGTTGACATTTATGCACGGACTTGAAGGTGAAACCATGGCGAACGCGCCACGAGCTCAAAGCGAGGCACTCACAGGAATGGTTATGAGAGAGAAATGAGGCGAGAATTGACACTTTAAGCTGCGTGCTATGTATCGTTACTTGGACCAATCAGCGACCCTGATATCATTATATCAACACCCACTCCTGTCGCAAATATATTGCATGCTGTGAATGCTGCTGGATGCAAACATGGAGGTAATTTTGATAAACGTTTTCATCCCAATAGGCCTGAGGCTAGTCATGCGCTTCCCGTACACTAATTCACCGAATCGCCAAGATGAAACACCGACACCGACACTGCCTCTGCGCACCTCGGCCAGCATCAAGGTGTTGTTCCTCGTCCTGTGCTTTGATGCCACGAAAATAGCTCATGGGGCCTTGGAGTCAAACTGGCTTGGCTTACGTTGTCTGTGCCTTTTCAAAACGACGAGACCTCCCGAGCGTGTATGTATTCCGTTGACAGCAAGTGAGGTGACGGCGATTCATTCTGCGGCTTGTCCATTTTGTAGAATAGCATTTCATCATCAACACCCGCCCAAGACTCAATGTAAAGGCTTCTCGGGATACACAACACCGTCGCTTCACCGAGAGTGAAAGCTACCACGTCCGCTCTACATCCGCCGTCCACCATCGGATAACCAAGGCCCGTTTCTGGCCGGACGTCACCCCAGGCGCCATGACTTGCATGCTGCGTCTCACGCCAATCCCCAACATGTCCTGCACATGCTCCCTCGACACCTGGGCAAGGGAAAACACAAGGCACCGGATGGGATGATGCATGCCGAAATCAGCGCAGTACACGCCCTCCAACTCCATCAGAAAATCGAGCAGGAACGAGAACCCAGTCCCCGATTGCAAGTCCATCTTGAGCAGCTGGTAACAGACTCGCCAGAACTTGGCCAGAAAGGCGTGATGATAGACACGCTGCACGTCCTTGGAAGGCGTCGCCGCCGCCTTCCTCACCTTGTCCAACGCCAAGGGGTCACTTAGTTTCCACAAGAGTCGGAACATTCCCGGATTACCGTGACGGACCAAGATGCGTATCTCCTGATGAGCCTGTCGTACACCCTTCCTCACCTTCTTCCAGCTTCCGGCCTGCTTGTTCTTCCAAGCCGACCAGTATAAATCCGCTATCCTCTGCCAGCTCAGCCCGTGGTCCAACTTGGGCCGCATCAGATCCCACACTGTGAATTGCTCCACGGAGCGTCCGAATACGCCGAGAACAAATCCGTCAATCGAGTACTGCATCAGCTCTGGGGCTCGATGGACGCCGGGCCTGAGCATCCGGTTCGTCGTCGGACTGGGAAGGAGAGCAGCCGGTCTGAGCGGCGCGGTTTGCCGCTGTGAAGAGCGACCTGCGCGTTTTCTCGAGGCGGAAGACGACCCGTCCGCACGGGTTCGTGTATTCCGCGGCTTGTACGTGTCCAATGCCCATTTTTTCTTGATGTGGTTCTGGCATGAACTTTTCCTGCTCGCAATGAAAAGTACTAAGCGGCCCTGTACGTGTCATGCTTTCTTTGGGAGAGTGCTTCCTACGTGGCTCTGAATGCGTGTTCCTCCCTGAGTATTTGCACCAGGTGCTCCGTGTTCCTGGCTCGATTCAGCCATATTTCTGTGATGATTGGCCTCATTCGCCGCCAGTCTTGGTCAGTTGGCGACTGGCTGAATGGCAGCCGTCCTGTAGACATTCTGTTGCCAGCGCAGGCGACTTGCTCGTATACGGAGTTCTCTGTAGGATCCTTTACCCTCTTGAATAAAGACGAATTCGTGGTGGAGAGGCTGCTCTGTCTGTCAAGTTGGGCAAATTGCTTGATGGCTTGGAGGTGTAAACAGTAAGACGACTTCCCCGCTCTTCAGCAGCGTCTCAAGTACCAGACCAGACTTTATTGCATGGAAAGCCTTGTGCTCTCTTTCCGCCATCTGACGGCTGAAATGGTTCCCAAATCTGGACCGTGTCGCAGTCTCATCTGGTTCCTTTGCGTCCTTGACTGGCATGTGATTGGACGCCGCTCACCGTTCTAGTGGCGGAGCACCAAATGTCGCGAATGGAACATGCAAGTGATGCCGACAGGACGCCAGCGGCCGTGACATGATTGGATGCTCAAATTGCCGTGCATAATGAATGCCCAAACGGGCAGTGAGCGGATAGTAGGCAAGAGTTGAAGATGTGTTTGTAGGAGCAGTTTTCTGTCTATATAAGTCCTTCAACTCACCCTTAACATGTTGAGAATTTCTCCTTCTTGTGTCAAAGTCGTCGTCATCTGGTTCCATCAGCATTTTCCTCGTGACGAAAAAACTTATTCTTCCCGCTTATAAGTTACAAGCCCCAGTTACCTTTTTAAATACTTCCCACCATCAACTGGAACAACATGTCATCCCACGCTTCGTCCGCCAGCTCAGCCCTCGTGTCTCCATCCAAGCAGTCTGTCAAGGAAGAAGTGCAAGAGGTGGCAGCCGTCACAATCAAGGAAAGAAGCAACAGCAGCGTCACCATCTGCATCATTCGCGAGCAGGGCCTAGGTAGCCTCAAGAAAGCTTGCGCACATCATGCCGGACTATTCAAACGCGGGTGTAAGTAGAACAAAAACCGCAAAATGACACATCTTGTTTCTGACCGAGGTATTGTAGCGCCTCTCGTGTTTTTCACAACGGCAGAACTCCTGCAGGACACCATTGACGCCGTTGGGCTTTCGAGAGAGCGTCGCATATTGACGCTCCTTTTCAGCCCTGTTGTAGACGAAATCTCGTTTCATGTTCCATCGCACTTCAAGCAGCTCAAGATTCTCCGGTGTGTCAAACGCTCAGATGGAGGCAAGTTGCTTGTCCACGGGTCCTCGACCTACAACGACGTGCGTCTCGACAAGTGGCAGGCACATAAACACGGGCGCCATGAGCTCCTGGTTGGCTACAAGCACGGTGTTCGCATCAAAATAGCTGACATTGTCAATTTGCCCAACTGGTCACGGTGCCGTGGCGAGTTTGGGGACTCGGAAAAATCCCAGTTGCGCCAACATTTCGAGACTCTGTCCAAGGACAGCAACTGGGATAAGGTGAGGGGACCAGTTGCCGCCATCTTGGGCATCGTGGTCGGGACTGCGAAATTCACCGTCGCACTCGGCGGAGCAGTAGGCGGCATCCACGTTAAATATGCCTTTGGCTTGCACGCTCTGGAAATAGGGGCTGGCGGTGCCAAGTTTACTGTTGTCGCCACCGCCGCTGGACCTGCGGTTGCCCTCGGAGTCTTGGCCGCTGCAGCGGTTTATTTCGTGCCGTGGGAGCATCTCTTTGACTGGCTCCGGGGGGCTGTCAGCTGTGTCTGGGACAAGGCTTGTGAGATTTGGGAAAAGTTCAAAGACTGGGTCTTATGTCTGTTTACAAACACGTCTCCGAGGAAGCCTAGGCAAGTCCACGGCGGCATCCCCCGGGCCGGCAGATTTGCTCATAGCTAGATGAGAATTGCCAATATCTCACGGTTGAGTCGAGTGAGGACGGTTCGTTCTTGAACGGCACATTCAATATTGACAGGTGAAATGGAGAATGGCTCATTACACAGAAAACGATGAACGAGCGGGGTCCACGCGTGGACAAATATGGTGAGCGGCAGGTTTTCATCGTGAAATCCAGGTTCTTAATATAAGCCTATAGTTTTGGAATTATTGTATTTCATACCTGTCACAATTCATTACATAGTAGAGCAGAGTCAAGTCCTAGTCTTGATAGAGTATCCATCTCAAATCCAGCACCTACATCGAGATCCGAGCCTCATAGGCCGCCCAGCCCTCTTCCTGGTATTGCTTTGCAGCCTGGACACGATCCTCTGCGGAATAAATGCCTCTCCCAGCAATGATAAAATCGGATCCGCCCCCAACAGCCGCCGCGGGCGTTTGATACCGCTGGCCCAATACATTGCCCGATTTGCTGCCGTTGACGCCCGTCGTGAAGATGACGAAATCTTCGTCGGCCAAGCTGGGATCGAGCCCTGCAGGACCAAGGCTGCGCGTGGCCACGAAGCCCATCACCGCGCCGCCCATGCCCTTCCTTCTCGCAACGTCAACGCAGCGCTGGGTGTACTCACCAACAGCGAGGCTGCCGGCCGTTGTCATCTCGGCCAGCAAGAGCAAACCTCTCTCGCTACGGTACGGGAATGTCTCGTCGGAAATAACCTGCTCGAGTGCATCCACGACGCCATCACCCCCGAGAAGGCTTACATTCACAATATCTGCCCATTCGGAGATGCGGAGGGCGCCGCCGTGGTATTGCTTCTGTACAGTCGTCCCTATGTCGACGAATTTACGGTCTTCAAAGATGAGGAAGTCATGTTTTGCCGCAAGTTCCTTTAACCCGGAAACAGTCTTGTCACTGAAGTCATGGATAATATCGACATGGGTCTTGAAGACTGCGATGTAGGGTCCAAGCTCTGTTCGTAAAGGCCGGGTTAGCAAGTCAATGACGGAGCACGCGCACATGTGCTTACCATCAGCACATTTCAGAAGACTATCCGTGTCGGTAAAGTCGGCCGATATAATTAAATTTGACCTTTTGCTGTCCGCAATCCGGAACAGCTTCTTGGCGACAGGATGCGGATGGGAAGCGGCTCGGGCAGAATACGGTACGGTAGATTTGGAAGCCATGGGGAAAGAAGCAGGTTTTGTTTGGTTTTGTGTAGAGAAATGGTAGTGGACAAGACGTAGCAGGCCGGAGCACACCCTTTATATAAGTCCGTCTGGGTCCCTTTGTGTCACGCCGTCTTTAGTGCGTGTGTTTAAAGCCAAATTACATGGCTAACTATAAGCCGCTTGACCATGGTGCCTCATACGGATTGCTGAACAAACTTAGAGTTTAGCTAACCTTCCGACACTACATGGTAGCAAGTCACCCCAACAAGACCGGTGCCTTTCTTAGGGCAGAGGCCATTGTGTTGCGAAGCCTGCGATTCTCAGCAGAGCTGTCATGGACCCTTTCAAAATCTGATAGCAGAGGAGACTAGGTGGGAAATGGTTATCCCATCGTGTTTCACGGATAAAATTTTATACGGGCTGTATCTAATAATCTAGGACTGATGACGTCATGCTAAACTGAAGACAACGGCTCATAGTGACACCTTACTCTGCCTCTCATTTCCAGCTGTAACAAGGGATCAGTCAGGGCTTGGAGAAATAACTCAATTGATTTAATAGGAGTCTTTAGTATTCAAGATTCTTGGTTACCCTCGAGGCCTAGTTGACCAAAGAGCTCTATAAATACAAGAAGCCGATGAGGGCCTTCTGCTCTAGGTGCCGTGATCGTCGCCCTCGTGTATAAGTGTGAGTTCCTATCATGTCAAGTGCTATGTCCTGCTCACAAATTCAGTTCACATTTTTCCCTTCTGGATGACCCACTCACATGGATTCATTTAGGTAGTGGAGCAAGTTCCATAGTGTTGAAACCGCCGGAGATGTAGTAATATCTGGCGAGACGCAGTCAATCAACTACGTAGTCGCGTGCGCCCACAACGGAAAGCAAGTCACAATACACCCGAGGAAGCTTAGAGAACGGAGGGTGCATGTACAATACATACTAGGCTCTGTAATAAGGGCTTCTTCTTTTCAATGTAAAAGCCTCTCGTAACGGTGACGACGAGTTGCATGACGTAAAAGGGGGAACAAATATTGACATGTTCAGACCCTGAAAGTTTAGCCAGGTGTGGCATGATAAGGGGGGTTATAATTAATTAAAAGGGATTATTGTCTCATAGAATACCGAGGGGCTCGTAGAGCACTTATTCCAGGGGTTATTAGCTAATCAGATAAGAATAGATAAGTGCTACCTTTATTTACTATAAAATTAGCTAATAATAATTATACTAATAGCCTTATCAGGTATAATAGGTTATATTATACTTTTTATATTATATATTACCTGCTTAGTACTAGCTTTATTGCTTATAGCGTGTGGGGCAGAGCGTGGGGGGCAGAGGGGCCCCCACGAGCCCCTTAGTATTCCATGAGATAAGAAGTACACAAGGTAAAAAAAGTACTTAATAAGCTATTAAAAAATTCTTATTAATAAGTGTTACAACCCAGCCGCAGGCTGCAGTGTAGGTCGCAGAATAGGCCGACTATATAAGCTACCCCGCGGAGAGATAAGGCTTATATTAGAAAAATAGTCAGAGTATATAAGGTAATTATAAGAATTATCTTATAATTAGAATAATTATTATATAAGTTAATATAATTACCTTATAATTAGGATAACTTATAGTTAGAAATTACTCTTAGGAAAAAGTAACTGCCTTATATATAAGAACCCTAATTTCGCTCTATAAATAAACTTTAGCTTCTTAGCTTTTAATATAAATTATTATATTAAATAAGCTTTACTTATAACTCTTTAACTCTGATCACTTAGTTATAATTTATAACCTATTACTAAATATAATATCTAACTACTTAAATTAACTGCTCTAGTAGCTTTGCCAATATAAACTACAACTAGTTTATCCCTTAGGAACCTTAGCCGTTACAATAAGTCTGGTTATTATTAAAAAAATGACTACTCCCCTATAAATTATAATTGCTACCTATAATTATAAACTAAAAGCCCTCTTATTCGCAGAAAGGCCCCTGTATATAATCCCCTATCAGGTCACTCATGGCTAATCTTACAGTGGTTAGATTGCATGTTCAGGGACTTATCAAGCCACGTGGAGATAATATGCCCCTTGTAGATGTTTAAACACCTTGGAACCAATAGGGATACTGGAACCAGACAGCAACCCACTTCAGGTAGACGGCCAGTTCCGGTCTGTCGGACTGCGGCCTGTTCGCCACATGGGGTGCATGTGTAAGAATTATGGCTTATCGAAAAAAAAGACGCAAAATAGCGAACATGCTGCATCAATACAGCATCACGTTACGAGGGCAGCAGGTCAGCACTGTCTTTGGGGGTGGCACCTATTATTTGGAATCCGAGGATATCTGGAATTTCACCGAGTCAATCCGTAGTGCCACAAAAGTGGGCGGCGAATATTTCGTGTTGGGACTAGAATGAAAAATGGATTAATATTGATATAAAAACCCCTGTGCATAGCTCTTGTCAACTTTCTTTTATAGCGGAACTTGCAGGGGTTGGATTGTGATTCCAAATAAACTGGTCCGCAACACGAAGAAAATCGTTCAAGAAAAGGAGAGCTTCAGGGGCTCAAGAGCGCGGAGAAAGATGAATCTGGCTTCAAGGCGCCATGACGGCATTTCCGTATACATACAATAAGACAAAATAATGGATTACATGCCAATAATGTACGGGGATCATGACAGGGTAAAAGTCGCCAAGCATGTCTGCTGCGGCGAGACATCAGGCGCCTTGGGAATCACGGCAAGGGCCTAGGTCTCTCATTCAAGTCGCACTCGATCTTGCTCCTGCCCTTGTGCCGTCGTATATATAAGTCCTGTTGGAAGCACATGTGTTGAGAATTTCAAACAGCTCCAGCTTTACCAAGCCCTCTCTTTACAGGTAACAGCCTAGGCTATCCATATCCGTTATTGATCGAGTATATGTTTGCAATTCCTGCCAGTGTCATCGATCATCACAATGAAAGCCTATCCTTTGGTTGGAAAGGCTCTCTGGCTAGCCTTTTCTATCAGGCCGTCACTGACACTCAAGGTGCCGTATCAGGATGCATTGACTGTGGGACAAGGGTATAGTAACCGTACCATGTTGGGCCTAAACGTGCTAACGTCAGTAGGTATAATACCTTTCTTGGTCGAGGTCTAATTCACAAAGCCGTCATGACCTCCTCTACGGATGCAGCCACAAACACTGAGAAGAGATCCGAAGGACCTGGCAACCAGAACTCCACTGGCAACTTTAATTTCACAGAGCCAGGTCCAGTTATGCCTGGCGTGGACGTGGACGGATATTTTACGCCAACCACGCTAGAAGAGCTTGCAAAGATTATCGAGGAGGCCCAGGAAGATGAAGCTGACAAGGAAAAAAGAGACGGGGCCAAAAACATGATTTCTGACAAGAAAACGACCATGGAAGGATGCCAAGCCGAGATTCACTCACACATTGAGTTTGTGTCCGACTACACGTCGTACTTGAAGGCTCTTGGCGTAAATGCGGCTACAAGTATTTCAGGGTACGGTCAAGAGGCTTCTGTATCCGGCAGCTATCTTGATGAGTCGGCATTCTCTTCTAATTCCTTGACCTTTATTGCGTCAATAAGCATCAACAAACAGCGTCGAGTTTCCAACGAGCAGTTTACATTCAACACTAAGCTTTATGAGGACAGCGACAGACCATTTGCTACAAGATTTGGCAACCGCTGGATTAGAGGTACGTTGCTTCAGATATATGAAGACTTGAAGCTAACAGCATACTAGGCTTTGAGATGGGAGGCAAATTAATGGCTCGAATAATGCTCACCTTTGACGAAGCATCTGACAAGGAAGAAATCAAAGCCGCGTAT